GTACAACATTTTATCAGAGAGAGAGAAATGTGGAACAGGGAAAGAAAGAGGAAAGAAAAAAAAAAGGAAAAAAGGAAAAGAAGAAGAAGAAGGAACAAAGTAGTTTATTATTATTATTATTATTATTTTAAGTTGAACACTGAAGTATTCTTAAACAGGAGAAAATGATACTGAACTCTGAGAGACTATCAACAAAAGATCTAATTATTTAACCAGAAAACTACAGCTAAAGTTGTTTTCAACTTATTATTGTTATATAGCTACCAAATGATTAACTATTTTTGTTCTTTTTTTAATTATTTTGTTTTTGGACCATGTATATATTACGAAGGTTTTAAATATCAATATTGATAGAAATGTCGAGACCTCAATTTCACAGAAATGTTGATAAAATATTTGATGTATATTTTTATAACCTTTCAAAAAAATAAAAAAAAAATTAGAAGAATAATCATTTCATCTTTTTAAACGACTTAAAAATAATTAATATTAATATTGTATTAATATTAGTGATATTTTTAATATTTTTGTCGTTTTTTTTTACAATACTATGAAAATGTCAATTTATCTTTCATTTCGATGTCAAACTTATAAACACATAGAAATATCGATGAAAATGTCTTTAACACGATGAAAATTTAGTACCCATAGAAGCAAAGGTAAATGGATACCGTAGTTGTGGTATATTATGCATTTATTAACTATAAAATGTGCTGCAAGAGCCGTCAAGATCAGCTGCGGCTTAGGTTTCGTCCTTGGCAGTCTAAAGAAAAGATTGAAAGAGATTTTTCTTTCCTTGAGTACAAGATTGAAAGAGATTTTGATCAGAATCATTGGAAACAAAAGTAAATAATTTAGATTGGGAAATTGAAATTGAAATTCACCATCTTCAATAATGGTGGGATATGGGACTGAGACTTAATTCTGATTGGCTGGCAAATTTCCATCTTTTAATGCACTGGGGACACTTGAAAATCTGTCAAAATTTATTATGGTTATTGGACTTATGAGGAAGGAGCGATGGGTAATCAAGACAAGAACTAAGGACCCAGAAGGAAGAAACCTGATCACACACCATTCATCATTCACAAGACTCATTTTGCAACCCCCACAAGAAAAGAAAATTTAAAAAAAAAAACTTGCCATTTTGTTAACTTAGATCACTAAATTCAAGGGGCCCACAATCACTGGTATTTCTTATTTCTAGTTGTTTTTGGGTATCCCTACATGATCATCTGAACCTTCATTGTGGGAGATCTTAAAATATCTGATCATCAGGGTCCCTTTGTTGACAGTAACCCACTGGGTTCATTAACATCATACAATGGCACATTGTTGTGTGTTCTTCATAGGAAGCTTCATGTTGTGGCGCCATATTGGCCATGATATATCGCGTAGGTATCTGATTCTGATTCCCGGTGATACGATTTTTGAAGGTGGGTCTCTTCTAGTGAAGGACTGGATGGACCCAGTGAGTGAAAACATTTATTGCATTGGATGGACGCTGTCGATGATGATTGAGAGGGTAATACCTTCCATTGTGGTCCTGGAAATGGATTCCTACGAACCACAGGGCGGCGGTATCGGTATGATTTGAAATCTGGAGTCTCACAGCCAGATGCAGAGGTTGCTGAACAAAAACCACAAAGTTTCTACTGAAATATGACAAACAGTCATCGTTTTGTTTTTACCAGTCTACTTACTATACAGAAGCGGAACAAGGATAAAAGATCATATGTACTTGTACAAGAGCACTGCCACAGTTGCAATCCATTTTCAAGTCCTTGGCATGATCCATCTGAAGTTGAAGGAGATCTTTTCCAAAGAGAAGCTGTTATTTGGGAGTTTCCTGGATCTTCTCCGTATCTTCAATGCGGTACTTTCAGTTTCAGCATTTTTATCTCAGTTTTATCTGAAAAACTCTGTTATACCAAATGGAATGAAGAGTCATGTGGAAGAGGTCATACTTCAGGGGCTTGGGATGCCAGAGGAAGTGCTTCTGTACCTTCCTGACTCGGAGTTGCATCTCAAGATATCTGTCTTTTGGTATCGAAAGCAGTATGTCTTGCAAGTTGGGGATGTCCTTTTCTGCAACAATCACAGAGAATGCTTCCCAATCCAACACTTCAAAAAATGGTGGCACAAAATTGTCTGATATGATCACAGGTACACACTCGTAAAAGATGGCTTCCACGACCCGTGGACTGTTGACCTCGTAACCCTTTGGACAGATGCAGTATTTGCTGCTCTTCATATGCTGGATGTAATTCATTTTGCTTGCAACACCAGGTGGCATTGGACCAAAGATCTTCATATCAGGGTTTTTGTCTTTCCAATACTTCAGCAGGATCGGACGTACGTAACCGTGCATGTTCCCAGCATAGAAGGCTAGAATGTGCCTCTGTGAAGTGGGCTTTCCTCCAAGATCTCTAAGTGGATTCCTCGCCGATCGTACATAAGTTTCTGGAAGAGACACATCTCTCCCAATTTTGAAGCCAACTGTTACATCAGCATTGCAAAGAGCTTTCATGCAGTGCTCCATGTGGTGCCTTGTCTCGTAAGGAGCCTATAAAACTCCAAAGCATCGTGTTAACTCTAATGGATGGTACAATCTCATCAAACTCACGTGAATTATATCAAGCACAATCATACTCCAGTTAGAATGATTAGAACAATTGCATTACAAGCATGTTACTGGAATGACTTGGTAAATCTCATCAAACTCACGTGAATATCTAGAACTTAATACCACTGATCTAAATAGAGTCCAAATTTGATAAGGAATTGGACGGGGAAAAAAAGTGAGAAGATCAATAATTTCAGGAACGTGTACCCAATCATGGCATGCAACAAGAAAATGATCTGCTCCACCAGTTCTATTCCAGTATGGATATTTGGCTGCTATCTTTTCTGAGTATTCCTTTAAAAATTGACGAAGATTTGTCCTGTTATGAGAATTACGCACATAGAGTGTGTACTCCAACATCCGAGAACTAAAGGGCATATAAAACAGGTGAGCCTTTCGAGGATCCTTTACAACAAAACGTTTGTTTCCCTCCATCAGTTTCATAAACCATCCTTCAGAGGCGTATAACCCCTTCATTATTGGTTGATGAAAGATGGGCTTATTTCCATCCCTATAGACATAGATTTTGAGTGTGCGCTCCATGAGTTCATAACTCCTGAAATCACAGAGAAAAAGTTTGAATTGGACCGCTACAACAACGTGATTGACTTTCTAATTTTTGCCAGAACTACATATCAAGTTTTAAAATAAAGGAAAAGCGTAAGTAGCTTAAAATTATAAGATAACTTAACAGAGTAAGTGAGAAATCAGCACAGTAAACCAATTGTGTGCACTATTTTTTAGCAGACTTATAATGTGTTTCATCTAAATTTTAGATGTCAGACAAACTATTAAGATTTGAAGGGCATGTGTCACTAAGCACTTTATTTCTTAAATAATTATTCTGTTCATCCTAACACTTCGCTCTTTATATTAATGTTGTGAACATGGCAGCATTATTCCATGTCATGAATGTAAAGAACAGCAAACAGTAACTGAAGCATGGAAATAGCTCCTAAAAGGACTATGCACCTTGCGGATTGCTAAATATACAAATCATTCATTTCTAAAAATATTTTTAAGCACTCTTTGATTTACTCTTTGCCTCATTTAACCCATGGGTAAAATTTGGCCGTTTTATTGAACACAATTAACAATTTGGCTCATGCTATGTGCCACATGTATTGATTCCATTAAAGCTAACGGCACAATTTGATTGAAGGATACAATGAGGCAAAAAAAGGAAAAAAGACATGGATGCTTAAAATCGTTAAAACATAACAGGGTGATTAATCAGATTGTGCATAACCCCACAGGGTTTTACTTTCCAACTATCGCGTTCTCTAATATCGAACCCATGGACCCGTGGTTGTACATGGAAATGTCATTTTAACACAGTGAATAATGCGATAGGATAGGATACAAGCATTGGCTTTACCTTTTAAACATGGAAACATTACGGAACAAGGGAGCATATAGTTCTGCATCATTTATGGCTGCAGCTTGCTCAATCTGCGACCTGGCAGAAAAAATTTCCTGATCACGCAAAGAGGATCGTCGTGGTCTCTACATAAAACAGAACAAGGTTAAAACCCCAGCATAGAATACGTTCATCATCAAATCAATAGCTCAAAACTAACACAAGCATCCATACCATCGCACGCGATGACCTGCGGTGGCGCAATAAAATACTGTTCATCTCTTGAAATGAAGTTACGGACTTTGGTGGCATTTCACTCTTCATCTTCTTCCTTTTAGCAATTTGTTTTGAATCAGTTTCTGATACTGTCTGATTATTCAGCAGGTTGACAGCACCAACAGGTGAGCTTATATTTGGTATCAAGTACTCTGTATGAGATGCGTTAACAGGTGAAGCTGGGATCTGTAGCATGGAGGTTGAAGAATTGAAAGTCGTATCTGTATCCTCAGGCTTCTGTGATGACGAGTCTTTAAATTCTTCTAACTCACCAAAATCCATATCAATTTTATCAAATTCTTCAAACTCATTCCCTGAAATGATAGTATCATTTGGTTTCACAAACTGCTTTAAGTTGAAGTCAAAACTTGATTCCCCGTCCACCTGGAGAATAGAATCATTCACCCGATTCGTAGTGCCTCCTGATTCCTCGTCATTTGGTTCAACGGTCTTTGCAGATTCCAAACCAATGTCATCATTTCTATTAAGAGATAGCTCATAACCATCTCTAGGGCTCTCCTCCTCCTTTACAAACATCCCTTTGCTATTCGGCGTGCTTCCATGTTGAAATCCTTTCACAAGAATATGATTATCAGTGTTCCCAATGGGAGTCGAAGTATTAGCCAAATCCAGAATCGTAAGAGGGTTGCGAACCATCGTTAATTTGGCTGAAGAATGCACTGTCTGGATGTCATATTGATCATGTTTTTGAACCTCATCATCAGGAAGTAGGGACCGAAGAGCATCTCCATAAGGAAGTAAAAGAGATTGAAATAGTACGTAAGTAAAAGCCACTACGCCCACCACAAACAACCATCTCCGAGTTTCGATGTGACATAGCTTGCAGAGAGGTAACAGATACTCCATGACAGGCAATTCAATGAGAACACAAATGTTGAAAACTCGGCATGTTAACTAAACAACTTCAACCTAAGAAATTAAGCTCTGCACAATTAGGGAGAGGCTGTTGTAACTATCATAATCCAGGTAAAAGGAAAAGGAAATTGAACCCAGAACCATTTTTTTCCGGTTCGTAAGATTAAATCTATAAGCAATTGGCGAGAACTTGAAACGAAGCTTAACTCACCTAAAAAGAAGTTAAAAAAAAGTTTGAAGAAGATGAAGTCGAAGCATGAACATTCGGCTCCTGAGAAAATAAAAAGAAACGAAAAGCACTTAAGTCGAAGATAATCTTTACCGACCTTGCTCGAATGGAAAGCTGAATTTAGCTTGAAATAAGCTTCTGTTTGCGATCGTGTTGAAGCCCTAGTGAAGTGAAGCAATATTTTCAGCAAATCTAATAGCTCCAATGTCACTCATTGCGTTTTCCCTCTTGCTCCCGGCAATGGCGATTTGAAGCAGAAAGCATGTTGCAGACAATTTCATTTCTCACCGAGAAAAAAAAAAGTTTATTTTTTCTTTTTTTGGTTTCTGAAAACTTATTTTTTCCATTGATAGAGACGGAAGGTAAAAAAGAAAAAAACTTCTCTAATTGTCTTAAAAAAAAACTATATATTTTTTTTTTTTTGAAATGTCAAGAAAACATATTTGATCAAAGTTAATAGACCAAAGAATAACATGGTGACTTTGGTTAGATATAAATCCTCAAAGATTTATTCTCTTTTAAACAAATTATATCTTTTAAATTTATTTCAGATTATTATTACTATTTCTTTTGGTCAATTTTTAAATATGATAATTTTGAAGCCTATTACGGTTTCTTCTTTTAAGAACTGGTATATATCATTTTACCTTTTTCATTTTTTAATTAATAGGCTTGCTGAAGGGATTTTTTTTTAATATTGTTTTTAATTAAATTTATTTTTAAAATAATGCAGATTTATTAGAAAAGATGGAAAAAATGCAACTTTCGAAACTTATTCCAAAAATAATGTTGGTGTAAAAAACGTGGGGCTTGGTTGTCTCTTGAAGAGACGACTATATGTGACTATCTAGGCGGTTTGGAAAAAAAAATATTGTTTGTATTATATAATATTGAATAGTAGTTCTTATGTTAAAAAGCTTAGTGGGTGTGTAGCTAATTTGTAACCCTCCCATCCCAAGTTCAAGTCTTGGATATAAAAAAAAGTTGGGATGGAAATGATAATATTAAGTAAAAAAGAGAAAAGATATAATTAATTGTTATGAAAAGGAAAAATGGGGTAATGATAATATTAAGTAAAAAA